CGTACACGAATATTCGTATTACCGGATCAGAAATTTCCATTCCGGCTACACTCTTCGCTTTTCACTACGGCAAGTCCAATCAGCAATATTTTCATACGACATAACAAACTGACCCCTGAATAAAGTATCATCGAGGCAGGGACACGCCTCTGCTTAAGACTGGTTTCGCCATCCAAGTTAGATGTTTCAACGAAACAAACTCCATCCGGATCAGACGACCGGATTAGCAATATATCAGCAGGAATCACTTCATCCAGCGATACATGGATAAAATCACCAACAATCACGTGCTGCCAATGCATCTTCCGAAAGCGAGCTTTTTCGCTGCAAAACTTTACATTGCTCCAACAACAACGCTTATGGACAATTACTCACTCCTACTCTGATCGTTATAACCTCAATGAATGTTATCCGCGACCTGCTTTACTTCTACTTTTATGCTTTTTTCGTAGCTACACAATACAGAAAAAGCATATTGACGAGGGTTGTCTGTGTATTCGTCTGTAGCCATTTTTCATCTCGAGTCCTACAAGAGCTACGGGGCTTAAATTTTGGGAGCTTAATCTACATGAGTGTACGGGCCCCCAACCCCAAAAGGGGCATCCTTACCCGAGCGGTACCCACGCACGAGGCCGCCACAGTTTTTTACATGTAAGCTGCTGACTTAGGAACCAGAAATGTTGCGAGGCTGAAATTTTAAGGGGACGTTCCCCGTCCAGTTAGGTGTTAATGAGCTCAAATCCAGCCCCTGGGTAAGCGTGGTACCCGCGTACGGGCTCGCTGAAATTTTTTCTGGGTAAGTTGATAACTCGGGAATCTGAGAAGTTAGAAAGCTGAAATCTTAGGGGGACGTTCTCCGTCCACCCAAGTCTCATTAAGCTCAAACCCACGTCCCGAGTATGCGTGGCACCTACGCACGAAATCACCAAAGTTCTTCTCAGGTAAGTTGCTAACTCGAGAACCTGAAAAGCTAGAAGACTGTAGTTTTAAGAGGATGTTCCCCGCCCAAGTAAGTCTGAAACAGCTCAAATCTAGACATCCGGTGTGTGTGGTGCCCACGTGCGGCCACGTGAAAGTTTTTTTCCAGTTAATTGCTAACTCAAGAGCCAGGAAAACTAGATAGCTGAAATTGTAAAGGAGTGTTTCCTGCCAATTCTGGCGGCCAGCCTTAATTTGTTTAGCTGGAAGTGTTACATAGGTACAAATACGTTATGTATAGTTTTTATGCTATTTCTATTTCCTCCTTCTCATGACTCGTTACAGTAATCCTATCTCCTACCCCATCTTAATCTTATTTAACAATCTTTACATCCCTTCCAATTCCATACTTTTCTTACTCAACAACTTTTTTTAACACGCATGTCTGGCGCTTTTTGGATCTTCATCACCGGAATGGAGGAAAATTCCTTCATTCCCGGGGTGGATCCTTTAGGAAACTCCCATTTCCCTCACTTGCGGTCCTGGTCCTGCTTCTGATCTCGACTCCAGTTGGTTCTACACGTCTGCTTTCAGCAGCGTCATCACCCTCATCGACTGAACCTCAGGGGACTTTGGCAGATCTCACTACTTTCCACCAACCTATGGTTAGGCTGGCATAACCGTCACTTTGATTGCTGTTTTCTGTTCTTTTTTTAACATGCAATAAATGCTCCCCTGTACACCCCGCGCCACAACGACCACCACATCCATCCCACGTTTACTGAAGCATTTGCCGAAAAAACCGGTGGCGGCAGAGACAAAAACTGCGAGGAACTATGCAAAAAAGGCATCTTCGCACAGGAAGCCCGTGCGTTGGCAAATTATTTGTACTGCTGTCGTTTTAAACAGCTTCTGCGGCGAGTGTCGCCGGCGCTTTTTACATTGCTAAAATTTGTGTCTTCGGCATATTGTTGCAGTTACATTTGCATTCTAGGCCCCGTTGGCATGAAACGCGAGAGATGGGAGGG